TCTCGGTCTTCCCTTTTTTCTGCCTCACATCCGCACCTGGCTGCACACTGCATTCTCCTCACAGCCTCTCCATCTCCTTCTCCTCTTCCTCCACCACGGATGATGCCTACCGATGGCACACACCAGCCTACTCTTTATCAATGACGCTAAGCATCTTTTCCTTTTTTTTTTTTTTTTTTAAATCCCCCCCCCCCCCTACCACCACCACCACCACCATACTCTTAACCCCACTCTCCTCGCCGTGTGAGAGTGGAAACGGGGGGCTCTGGAGGGATAAATCATTGTTAGAGGAGGGGGGGAAAAAAAATAAATCAGTCATTCCCCCTTACCTTGCCGTCCAGTGAAGAGGAGAGCCTCTCTCCTCCAGGAAGGATTGTGGAAGCGAGAGTGTTACACATACACACTCACGTACACTATTATACGCCGCTCACTCACATTCGCACACTCTCGCACACGGACATACACGCTTGCTCTCTCTCGTACACACAACGACGAGGAGGGCTGGCTCTCAAGCGAGAGCACACTGCAGGCTGCCGCTTGCCTGGGAAAGCCTGATGCGTTCCTCCCTCCAGGCAGAAGCACACACTGCCATCTCAAAGGCTCTTTGTTGGGGCTGATTCATCCCCGGCTCCGTGGCTGAGTGCTGGTCGGTGTGCCGGTGCCTGCTCCCGGGGACACAAGGGTGACCGTACAAAAGGAGGGACAAAGCCATGAAAAGGAAAAGCAAGCATCCAGGAGGAGAGAATATCACGGCCCCCATGTAGCTCCTTCCATCCGCCCCCCTCCCCTTCTCTCCCTCTCCTTCTCAGGCTCGCTGTCTTTCTCTCTCTTACAGACACTCTCCCTCCCTCCCACCTCCCTCTCTCTCTCTCTCTCTCTCTCTTCCTCCTCCTCCTCTCTCTCCCTCTCTCTTTATCACTTCCCTCCTTCTCTGCCTCCTCCCACTCTCTCATTGGGCTGCAAAAGAACTGATAGCAGCCTGTGCATGTGTCTAAGCCGGTTTCCAATGACTGTAAGGAAAGGAGAGCTCCTCTACACCTCATCACCTGGGATACCTTTCATTCCCCCTCCATCTCTCTCCCCTCCCTCTGTCTCCTTTACACGTAATATGGGTGACATGAGAACACGAGGGTGCTGCGTTCGCCCAGTGTGCTGCTGCTGCTGTTGCTCAGTCAAATGCATTATCCATAGAATGGCAGGGTCGGCAGATGGCAGGAGGGGTTTTTGTGTTCGTGTAATAAAAATTCGGGACTATTTCCGTAGACGATGCAATCTGCAGCCTCGCAATCTCTTCTGAGTCCACTGTGACCCAAAAATCTTTGTGGATCAAGGCACAAGAAAACTGAAGTAACAGCACTGGCCCCGGTCCTGCATCTGATCCAGCGTCCTCATCGTTTGAGTGAAACGTTCCCCTCTCTTTTCACCACAATCATTTCCTGAATAATTTATACAGCAGCTAAGACCAGACACAAAGCAGGAAAATGTATTAGGGTCAAGTCATGCAGAAATTGTCAGCAAGAGTGAGCCAGATTTAGGGCATATATGTAATACATGGCATTCTGATGTGAGAGGAGCATGCGAAGGCGCTAGAACAGGCTGAAATAATGATGTTCCTCCTTCAAATAAAGTCAAGTGAAAAAAAAAAAGCCTCATCTGCATAACAATGACAGTTTTGCCTGTTGGGGGTATGGCAGAAATGACCCCCTCCCTCTCTTTCACTCTTACTTGTCAGCATTATTGTCACAGATATTTATTGGCGTGGCTGCATTTCACCGCCTCGCACGACTTATTTTCTTGATTTCTTTTGAGTTCAGAGCGATATAACTGTGTTGTAAGAGGTGTATTTATGTGCAAAAATATGGTCACAAAGATGCTCCTGTTGGTCCAGGCTATCTGAGCTCAGTCGTTGAGGCACTTATCAGTCTGAAGGAGAGCTGGACGGGTCAAAAGGTCAATGAATGAAACACTTCTGCCTCCTGTCATGACAGAGATCAGTGCTCCACAAACTGTTCTGTGCACCTTTTCAGAAAGAAAACTACATCTCCTGTCCACTGTTAAATGTTGCTCTTGATTTGAAGATGAAATAGAGTCGATCTATTTGTTCTTTTCTGGTGTGCGGGGCATGTTAGCTTTATATATATTGTATATTGTCTTTGTAGTCGAAGGCTATTTTAAGCGTGTGACACAAAGGAAAGACATTGCAGCTAAAATTAGCCTTGATCACGAGAGTTAATTTAAGCTGTTTGTCAGCTTCACTTAGGAATCTCCTAAAAACCGACTTGTCATGTAAAAAAAAAAGAGGACTTACAATGACAAAGCAAGACTTAAACCGCAGTGTCATTGAAATGAAAGCCCAGGACACGCATAAGTGATACCACCTCATCATTTGCATTTCAGTTCATTCTATTGTTTAGGGTGAATGTGAGGATTTCACTGTGGGGGCTCAACTTATAAAGCTAAAGGAAATGTCACAATCCACTGACGCTGCCAGATGACCTGCAAATCCAATTTAATTTTATAGTAGACGCACAACTGTAATAGAAATCCAGTCAAGGTTGGTGTCATTCACCTGCTGGCTTAGGAATAGAGTTGTATATGGAAACTAATTCTGCCTAAGAAAGAAAAAAATAGATTGTTGACTGATAAACAAAACAAAATAAAACAAACAAAAGGGGGTAAAAAATGCACATGGCATTCGAAGTCACAACTATGAAATAAAAGGCCCTGATCCTGGCTTATGAAGTGAAAAACGCAACATACGCAGTCAAATGTAAAAAGTCAAGAACATCACAGAGTCAGATATGCCTCCTCTCATCTCAAATAGGATTGTTATTTAGAGTCATAAAACAGAAATGATGAGAAAATATGTCATGATTATGTACAAGACAGTGGCCTCAGTCAGGCTTACAAACGATCAAAGTCAAAATTAGAGAATAGAAAATAATAACTATTCAATAGTGAGTCAGACTTATGGGATTGTTAGTCTGAATTATATAATCAGAAATCAAAATCATAACATCTGAAAATTCTCAGAGTAAAGAATTATTATAAAATCAACATTACTACACAGCAGTAGAGTTGAACAATTTGGGGAAACCATCTATTTCTGATTTTTCTGACAGATATTGATTTTGATTTTTAATGGAATAAGTCAAGCTTAAGTTCAAGAGCTTATACACATGATAGAGCATTGCTGTTGCACAAGGAGGACACAGTGAATTTGGAAAATCATCGACTCAACTGTTTAAAACCTGAGTCAGACCTGCAGCATAACGCACTTCCTTCATTGCGGCTTAATTGCATTGTTTCAAATTGCTATCTTGCTTTAGAATTGATTCATTGTACAGATCTGAATAGTACAACAGTCCTAATTTTGAGCTCCATTGAATTTATTTTTCTTTTCTTGGAGCATAAGGGCTTCCGTAGCCAGATTACATGCAATCCACTGGACTGATGACTTGCTGCTGCACTATTCCAGGCTTTTCCACACCTGAGCAGCCAAGTGCAGTTCACCTCAGTGCTCGGACAAAACGTCTCCTGCAGACTTCTAAGTGAGGCAAAGGCTCATCTTGCTGTTAACTGGTGCATGTAAATACAAATCGCACAAATAGGTTAAGAGCTCTGACTGTAAACAGGGCCCACACGGCACCTGAGTGTTCTTGGCTATCACAGGGACAAAAGCTCTTCCCCAAAGGCCCCGTCTGCAGCGCATTAAGGAGAAGGTAGCTCTGCTCGTAGCATCTCTCCAGTGCAGTAACAGAGAGCTATGGATTTTCTGTCTGAAGCGCTGGCTGCTTGCTTTCATGAGATGAGCTTTTAATAAGTCATGTCAAATAGCGCGCCATCCAGGATGCATTATGCTGTAGTTATGCTGTGTTATTATGATGATGTGGCTGCATCATGTTGCCCATCATTTATCACTGAATTCCAGGTGCTCTGAGCTCTAAGCCAAAAAATGTAAAGTACGGGAACTCACCGCTTTGGATGATCTCGGCTGGCAGTGTCATATTTCCAGCGGGAGATTAGAGTCTGCTCCTCCTGTGATCCACATGCATGTAAAAGCAGCTCCGCTCTGTGTGCCATACATCAGAACAGTGGCCTCTTGGGGATAGCCAAGGCCTCCTCTGCCCGCAGCTGCAAACTGTGGATTTCACTTGCTAATGAGCCACAACCACCTATCTTCCAGCCATTCATCAAAGTCTGGCCTATGCGAGCTGTCTGTGTGTGAAGTGGATCCCATCATCACACTAGATTAGGTTTAGGTACCGTCCCACCACTTTAGCCAGTGGCCTTCTGGGTAACCTCTCCAGGACAATGATTAACATTGTTGAGCTAAATGCAAGATCTGCTCTTAAGTTTCACACCCAGCAAGTGTTGTACAAGGCTCCCCCTGCAGTGAGAAAGTTAGTAGAATAAATATCCATGTCATTTAATCTTTTAAATGCGTACTGTTTTTTGTGAACCTGCAGCAACAGATTCCAGTCAGCACTAAATAGTCCTCATTAACAATCCAAACACCATTACCTGGAGGACAATCCATGCTTCCCCTTGCATGCCCCCTGCTGACAGAGCATTACCACAACCCCCCCTCCAGCCTGTAAAAAAGCACAATCTGACTAGTCATCAGTAGGATGTTTTAACAAGTTTATTGAACATCAATGTGAAGAGGCGTTTACTCAGATTGAGACGTAAAGACCAGCCGAGTCGCCTCACTTCAACCCTTGTTTCACTGTGTTGGAATAGTACAGAAAAAAAAACACAAATAGAGTTAAAGAAAGGAGCACACACGAGGAACACTGTTGGTCTTTGACAAAAAAGTGGAGTGAAATCAGGAACAAATGTGAGTGACTTGAGTAGTGGTTTAGCATAAATATACATGAATATATAATGTCTATCATATCAAGTACAACTGCTACTCTAAAGCCTTTGCTGTTTACATTGTTGAAATGATGTAGATGTTTATTCCAAAATTTGTCTGCTTCCCAATATATCCCAATATCTGGTCCAATCACTGCATTTTTATTGGGTCCTAAACTTTTAAAATAGTGTCTTTAGTTCAAAAGGCTTCCAAAAAGCTTCCCCACTCTTGTCTTTTCACCCGATACAGTAACTCATATTTCATGAAAACAATATTTACATCTAGATAACAAACACATACAAAGTCATGACATGATATTTGCAATAACATCTTCTCACAACAAAGGTAAAAAAAAAAAAACATGTATTCAAGAAACAAACTCCGAGGCCTCCTCTGCTGCAGCACTGAAGCTTCTGACTTCTGGTGATTCTTATGACATCTTTTTGAAGAAGCGTTCAGCACGCAGTTCCTCAAAGCAGAATTCAGCGGCGCCGCTGAGCAGCAGCTCTTTACAGTACATGCTCTGCTCCTGCAGTTTTCCTGATTCTGCCTCCTTCTGTTGCTGATGATGGTCCTGAAGTCTCTTCAGAGGAGTTTCCTCTCTGCCCGGCTTACGTGCTGACAAAACTGTGTTTACCGCCGGGTTGATCTTACATGGAGTCCTGAGGGAGAGACAGAATGATGCGCTTACATTTGTTTAACTTACGATATATAAAAGAGATCGAGCAAATCCTAACAGCTGTAAGGTTTTAATATAGTGTTTAAATATATAGAGTTGCTCAAATGTCAAAATAGTTGATTGTTTCATTTTAGTCAACAATTTTAAGAATATGAAACTTCCTATTGAATTGAATTTCCCTTCTGGGATAAATAAAGTATTTTTCATTTCATTTCATTTTCATTGTCATAAACCTGATGCACATTTAACAGAAAGCAAATACAAGCAATGGAACAAATCTTCAGATAAAAGTTAGAGTCACTCACATTGTGGGAGGCTGGTCCGACTCCTCAACAAATGGTTGGAAGGTGGGTTTCGGGGGAGGCGGAGCCATAATAGTATTTCCAAATTTGGACTTCTGGGGCATCTATGATATAAAAATAGAAAAAAAAAAGTAATTAAAATAACTGCCGATGCTTGATTACAATGCACACATTAAATTCAACTAATTAAAACCCAATCCTGTCACACCTTGACATCACACCATCTTTCAGGCCTCTGCTCATTCTCCTTTGCCCTCGTTGTGGGAGGAGCCATCCAAGACTCCAACTTAGGCTCCGATGAACCAGCACTTTCAGTTTTGTTCTCATCAAAGATCACCAAGCGGCTGTTTGAGACATTGCCGAGGACAGGGGCGCCACGTGACTGCAGGCCTCCAGAAATGCCTGCTCGCAAACCCATCAAAAATTAATATGAAGCATCTTTTTCAAAAATTAATGCTAATATTTAAAGTTATTGGAGTACTGCTAATATCAGGTCAGCATTTTACAACAGATTTCTACTTTTTGTATTTGTGTGCTTACTTCTGATTGCCGGACCAGTTCTGTTGACGGGGGCGATGGCCTTTTTCTTCCCTCTGTGTTTGAGGTCGGCCAGAGAAACTCTTTCAGGTTGTTTAGACTCATCATCACTATTGTCCTCCTCCACATCCATCATCACATGTCGGGACACACGTGCCTGCAGAGCCCTGTGAATATAAATACACAAAATTGTGATTGTAACACAACTGCTAGGAGTAGGGAAATAACTATGTCATAACTATACAGGATGGATCCATACTTGTGAAACTGGAGGAGCTTGTCATGTGGCTCAGCACACTTCCTGAATCCCTCTTGGTAGACCAGGTCTGCTTTGCGAAAGTTGCCCTGATTCTCATGCTCCTCAGACCAAGCGATGTACAGGGACGCCTGTGTCACTCCTATTCCCTGCGCTTGCATGTACCTGTAAATGTCCAAGGGCTCCGGGCATTGTTCAGCCTGAAAGTTGCAAAGTTGGCAAAAGTTACTACTGTTGTATTAGTTTGTCAAAGTAAGAGAATCAGTCAGAGGTGAAACTGGAGCACGTACAAATTTGACCCAGAGGTCAACATAGCGAGGGTCGTTGTGGTAATTTTTTTCGTCTTTGAATCTGGTCACAACTCGTTCCAACAGCGTAGCGAGGTTGCTCTCCTTTCCTCCCTGAGGGAAGGTTTGCTCCGTCCACTTAATATACCTGCAAAAACAGAACCATGTTAGGATCAGGGAGAGATTTAAGAGCGGCACTGATGAATGCACTTTGCTGTCTAAATATTTCACTTACCGATCCCAAACATCAAGTGGATCATCTCCATCATACATGCGCAGCTCAGACTCAAAGGCCCTGGAGAAGCAAAAGGAAAAAACCTTCTTTTATCTTGCTGAATGATGTGCAAAAAA